ATGGCTCTGCATCCAACTCTGTCCCTTATTAACGAATTTTTGGAGACAAGTCTTTTTACAGATTGCTGAAGGCTTTAAAGACGCTGAACAGAAAATGTGCCACCAAAATCTTGAACATTACTCTACTCACCCCTTCCACAACTGCGAACGCTTCTTTGGCATACTTGCTATCTCTGACAATTCCGCCGACTTCGCCTTCACCGCCTTCATCGAGCCCTCTCATGAATTCGGATATCACTGAAATTGATGCGAAATGAGTCTCATCGGAGGCATGGCATGATTTTTACTTTGGACCGGATTAGGGACATTGCGAATTATTGCAACTCCTCCTTTTGTTTTACCACCTTAGTTAATAATAGCCTACTAGTAAGTATGTAGAAAGCTAGGAGGAGGGGGGGCGGAGGGGGAGGGATAGATTGAGATTGGATTGCAAAGAGTTAATGGCAGGGTGGAATCTAAACCGATCCGAGAAACTGAAAAGTCACCCATGCTGCGTAATAGGGCTCAACTGAATTCGGTCATCGGTTTTTAGCTAGCAAGGTGGATAACGGTCGAGGAAATCCTCGACCATGGCTCTGTACTGTGTGAGAGTAGTGTCGAGAGTGAATGTACGCGCGGAGAGCACAGACGGCTCGCGGTGGCGAGAGTGAATGTCCGCGCGGAGAGCGTGACTGAACAGGCGAAATCCTCGACGAGCCGTGAGAATCCTCGACCGATTTTCACCCTGCTAGCTGGAATAATTTGATCGCCTACTCCTATGAAACGTTTCAAAATCTAGCTTCGGAACTAACAGCTCTACAAGAGATGAAGTGCGGAAACTGGAAGTTGATTGCAGGAGCCGCTAAATGCGAAAGCTGTTAAAGCCTAGTAGGGGGCCGGGTGCAGCAAGAGCCTAACTCGGGATGGGTCCCCAAAACTCTGCGTCTCTACTCTGGTCGATGACGCAACTCTCATGGTCAAGAATAGGGGAAGCGTCCAGAGATGCAGAGTTTTGGGGACCCATCCCTTGAGTTGGGGCTTGCTGCACTTGGCCCCAGGCGACCAGACTTCTTCTAGAAGACTATTGAGACGTCGGGTGAAGCATAAACCTAACTATTGACATCTTCCTTATACATCTTCCCTTATTTTGGCTTCTAAAAATCTGAAGAGCAGGCGGAGATTATTAGATTTTGCACAAGAAGTGAAAAAACATTGCGAAATTTCTTACGTTCGGTATTATTTCCGATTCGTGACAGTCTTTTCCATGGAATCGGACGTAAAGTGCTGAAGTTCTGGTTGGCCAGTGTCATTTCTAGCTCGTCCACCATGGTCATGAGCGGCAGATAACAGCCTTGATCACAAGCTGAAAAAAAGAGCAATTCAAAAAGTCGAATGGGGCTGGAGGAAGTCATGAATTCCAAGATTCAGAAGGAAACGAACAGGTGCAAACTCCTCCGATGAAGGCGTGACGATGTTGGCAACGACTGCAATCCCTTCCTGTCACTCCGTCACGACATTCACATTGGCCGGTAAGCGGATTGCAGGCGCCGTTGAGCGAGCCGTCCGGATGGCAGTCGCACGACTGACAGAATCCGCCTGGTGTCGACGGTTCGCCGAAATAGCCGACTACGCAGCTGCAAATGGTAGTTCATACTTCGCCCCGCGACAATCGGTAATATCGTACTAACTTTTCGCAATATTGTCCAGTATAGCCTGGCTTGCACGCGTTGCACACATAACCTCTACCGTAATCCACCGCGACGCAAGTATCACTGAAATATAATAGTTCAAAAATTATTAATACCCCGTATTTTTTGGGAGATTCCTGGCTAGTCATACCTGAACGAGTTCTCCACGAGTGGGCAGGCACATTTCGTGCATGCTTTCGCTCCGCCCTCTCTTGCATCACCGATGTAGCCGCTTTTGCACAGATCGCAGTGTTCCCCGATTGTGTTATGTTCACAGTCCTGAACATAGCGCATAGTTTGACAGGGAAAATTTTGGGAAACTCCGCCCCTTTGTGGAAACCCCGCCCCTTTGAGGGAAACTCCGCCCCTTGTGGAAACCAACCGTGCAAACGCAAGTTTCTGGATGGCAGGTGACTGAGTGACCGTAGCAGGCACATGGTTCTGACCAGCCAATGAGCGACATATCGTCCGGAGAATTGAGGTAGTCACTGGAAAAGAAGAGGGTGAGCTCGTTTCGTACAAATTGACTACAAATATGGTATTTTTTGCTTACCGTTGTTTCTTCCTACAGTATCCCGTGGCAGGATTCTGGCACGATGAGCCGGTAAAGCCCTGAGGGCAGTTGGAGCACTGCTCAACACCGATGGCTGTCGATCCAGTCAGACCAGGAGACGGAGGGACGGCCACGTCCAATGAAATCTGTGATAAAATTGGGGTTAGGCGGATGAGAATCACTCGAGGTTGCGGTGTCACTTACCTCACTCATGGTGATTGCGTCTCCTCTTGCCGGATAGTTGTAGGTACCACGGATGTAGACGCCTTGGAGATTTTGCAGCGCTATCATCATCTGCTTACGGGTAACTGGCAACTCGGGGCTTTGGCGTGAACGCCATTCGGACTCATGTAGTCGGACCTGGAACGACGAGGAAGGTTGTTGGCTTCGTCTCAATGCCCTTCTTCCTCTCATCAACTGTTTTGCTGGTAAATATTCCAGAAATGAAGTCGAACAGCTAACCTTGTACTTTCCGTCCTCTTCAATCTGCAGTGGGATGTGCTCTAGCTCGATACGATTGTTGCCAACAAGCACAACCTATCAATAAATTTTGTCAACATGTTTTTAGGTAAACAAACAAATAACAAGATATGTTTTGAAAAGATCTCAAAACTCAAAACAGAAATCGATCAGCCTACCTGCGGGAAGTATCGGAAGTACTGATTATCGGGTCGAACGCCATCGATACCGCGACGGTTGTCTTCGTTCCAGATCTTAAAGTGTAGGCACCATACTTTACTTTGTTGAATGATATTGGTTGGAGAGTTCGAGCAAAAGCAAAGAGGGAACGATAGAGGCGTCAGGGATTGCGTGGCA